ATACCAAATCCCCATGACACAAAATGTACCTATATAACAAACCTGCACATGTACCTCTGAACCTAAAATAAAATGTTTTTAAAAAAGAAAATGGAGCTTTCTTTTCAGTGACTAAGTTTTCAGACTTAGTCATTGAATTCCAAATAACACAGTATGGAAGGGGAAAAACAACTTTATAGAAAAAAAGCAACTACTTTAATCAAGTAATCAAAGTTAACATCACCAGTAATAACTCATAGTGATATCATGTACCCCATCTATGGATGCTCTGTATCATTTTACTGGTATTTTCCAAAACCTACAAATCAAGTTCAATCATGAAAAAACATCAGATAAACCCAAATTCTATGAAATACCTGACTAGTATTCCTCAAAATTGTCAAGGCCATCAAAAACAAGGACAGACTGAAAAATTGTCAGTCCAGAGGAGACTGAAGAGCTGTGATGACTAAATGGGATCCTGAAAGAGAAAAAGAACATTAGTGTAAAAAGTAAGGACATCTGAATAACTTACTTCATTTAGCTGATAGTACCAATATTAATGTCTTGGTTTTGACAAGTGTACCATGGTTATGTAAAATGTTAATAGGGAAAACTGGGTGAACTATATATGGGTACTCTCTTTGTAACTTTCCTATAAACCTAAAATATGCCAAATCAAAATTTTATTTAAAAAACAGTGACTTTGTCAACGAGACAGAAAAATAAACAAGGATATCCAGGACTTGAACTCAGACTTGGAACAAGTAAACTTAATAAACATTTACAGAACTCTCCACCCCAAATCCACAAAACATACATTCTTCTCACTACCCCATCACACCTACTCTAAAAGTGACTATGTAGTTGGAAGTAAATCACTCCTCAGCAATTGCATAGCATTTCACAGGTTTAAATGAAATACTGGTTGGCTGCTTGTTTGTTATTTTCCTCCCTTATTCCTTCCTGTCTCCATTGTTAAGCACAATTATTGGCATAAAGGAGGTTTTTAATACCCATTTTTAGACTGCATTCTAGCCTGGGCAATAAAGCAAGACTCCCATTCTCTATCCCTCTTTCTCTTCCTCTTTCTTTCTCTTTTTCATTTTCTTTCTTTTTTTCTTTCTTTCTTAAAATAAAAAAATAGTGACTTTGGCCAGGCGTGGTGGCTCATGCCTGTAATCCAAGCACTTTGGAGGCCAAGGTGGGCAGATCACCTGAGGTCGGGAGTTCAAGACCAGCCTGACCAACATAGTGAAACCCCGTCTTAAAAAAAAAAAAACAGTGACTTTCTGCATGTTTCTCTAGGCTTTCTGTTCTGACTCTGGAAACATTTTCTGAAGCCAAGCTCTAGGGTTCAGGCCTTTGGAAATGAGGTCTGTATTGTTAAAAAATTATGGAGCCTGGCATCACTTGGGGAGGGCAATTATGGGTGTCAGGGAGGCCCTGCTCACCTCAGTAACAACTCTCATCAGTTATTTCACACTGTTTTTCTGCCTGATTCTCTTTTTTGTACATTCTGTTTTGGGGGATGTTTGTTGGGGACAAAATTGTCCTGGGTTAAAGGAGAAGAGGAGGCAAGGACATCTCATTCTCCTGCTAACATGGACTGATAAGACAGAGGGCAGAGGAGGAGCCAGTGGAGATGGCATGCAGAGACCACAAATTCACTTCTGCCACTCAGACCCTACAAACACTTTGGTTTGTTTAATAATCTGTGATTGATCTGATCTTCATAATGAGTGACTACCTTCTGCATTGGGTAGTCAGTAGGAAAAAACATGAATTTACATGTAATCGGTAAAGATTATCTGATGTAATCATTTAAATGGTCCCTTTGTATACATACTCGATCCGTATCTGTTCCTGTGGAAATCCCCTTCCCTCCCCTCCCCCTCCCCCTCCCCTCCCCCTCCCCTCCCCCTCCCCTTCCCTCCCCTCCCCTCCCATGCCTTCCCTTCCCTCTCCTCCCTTTCTTTCGTTCTTTCTTTCTTTGTCTTTCTTTCCTTTTCTTCCTTCATTTCTTTCCTTTCTTTTTCTCTCTCTGTCCCCCATCCCTCACCCTCCCTCCCTCCCTCCCTTCCTCCCTCCCTCCCTTTCTTCCTTCCTTCCCTTTTCTCTCTTTCCTTTCTTCCATTTCTTCTCTTTCTTGAAACAGGGTCTTGCTCTGGAACCCAGACTAGAGTACAGTGGGATGATTATGGCTCACTGCAGCCTTAACCTCCTGGGCTCAAGAGATCCTCCCATGTCAGCCTCCTTTGTAGCTGGGACTACAGGTACATACCACCATGCTCAGCTAATATTTATTTATTTATTTTTATTTTACTTTAAGTTCTGGGGTACATGTGCTGAATGTGCAGGGTTGTTACGTGAGTATACACGTGTCATGGTGGTTTGCTGCATGTATCAGCACGTCATCTAGGCTTTAAGCCCCTAATGCATTAGGTACTTGTCCCAGTGCTCTCCTTCTCCTTTCCCCCCACCCACTGGCAGTCCCTGGTATGCAGGGACTTCCTGTGTCCATGTTTTCCCACTGTTCAACTCCCATCTATGAGTGAGAATATGCAGTGTTTGGTTTTCTGTTCCTGTGTGAATTCGCTGAGGATGATGGTCTCTAGCTTCATTCATGTCCCTGCAAAGGACATGAACTCATTCATGTTTATGGCTTCATAGCATTCCATGGTGTTTATGTGCCACATTTTCTTTATTCTATCTATCGTTGATGGGTATTTGGGCTGGTTCCAAGTCTTTGCTATTATAAATAGTGCTACAGTAAAATATGTGTGCATGTGTCTTTATAGTAGAATGATTTATAATCCTTTGGGATATACCCTGTAATGGGATTTCTGGGTCAAATGGAATTTCTATTTCTAGATCCTTGAGGAATTGCCAAACTGTCTTCCACAATGGTTGAACTAATTTACACTCCAACTAACAGTGTAAAAGTGTTCCTATTTCTCCACATCCTCTCCAGCATCTGTTGTTTCCTGATTTTTTAATGATCGCCATTCTAACTGGTGTGAGATGGTATCTCATTGTGATTTTGATTTTCATTTCTCTAACAACTAGTGATGATGAGCTTTTTTTTAATATATATTTTTTGGCCACATAAATGTCTTCTTTTGAGACGTGTCTATTATATTCTTCACCCACTTTTTGATGGGGTTGTTTTTTTCCTTGTAAATTTATTTAAGTTTCTTGTATATTCTAGATATAAGACCTTTGTCAGATGAAGAGACTGCGAAATTGTTCCCTCACTCTGCAGGTTGCCTGTTCACTGTGATGATAGTTTACATCTAATGTTGCTTCTTTCTGTTTACGAACGTGGAATGTTTTTCCATTTGTTTGTGTCATTGCTGATTTCTTTTTTTTTTTAATTGCATTTTATGTTTTGGGGTACATGTGAAGAACATGCAAGATTGTTGCGTACACACATGGCAGTGTGATTTGCTGCCTTCCTCCCCTTCACCTACATCTGACATTTCTCCCCATGCTATCTCTTCCCACCTCCCCACCACCCCCGTCCGTCCCCCATTTACCCCCAACAGACCTCAATGAGTAGTGCTTCCCTCCCTGTGTCCATGTGTTGGACTGGACAGGAAAAATGTGGTACATATACACCATGGAATATTATGCAGCCATCAAAAACGATGAGTTCATGTCCTTTGTAGGGACATGGATGAACCTGGAAACCATCATAATCTCTGATTTCTTTGAGCAGAGATTTTTTCTCCTCCCTAGTTAGCTGTATTCCTAGGTATTTTATTCTCTTCATGGCAATTGTGAATGGATTGTGTTTCTCAGTTGGCTGTCAGCTTGAAGGTTGTTGGTGTATAGAAATGCTCCTTGTTTTTGTACATTAATTTTGTATTCTGAAACTTTCCTGAGGTTGTTTATCAGATCAAGGAGCTTTTGGGCAGAGAGTTTGGAATTTCCTAGGTATAGAATCGTATTGTTTACAAATTGTTTGATTTCTATAGAAAACATAATGGGGTAAAAGCAAATATCTGTCAGCAATGGAATAGAACAATAAAAATGCCCAAGAATACATTTAGTTTGAATGTTAAGAAGTAATATGAAGCAAATAACACAATCATTGTGAGGGATAAGTAAAAAGACTTGAGGAATTGGGGAGCATCTTTTTCTTGGATAGAGAGATTCTAAAGTCAAAGGATGGTTATTGTCTCTAAGTTAAGATGTAATTTAAAAATAATAACTGGTGTCTCAATAGGAATATTTTAGGACCTGATCAAATGATTTTGAAGTTCACCTGAAAGACAAACGTGTCAGAATAGATAGAAAAGGAGAAAGCAATGAGGGAGGGAAGCATTTTTCACATTTCAAATATAATTAAGCTATAGCAATTAAAATAGTATAGTAGTGGTACAGGTATAAACAACTCAATGGAGGTAATTTGAGAGAGTTACATACAAAATTGAGTGGGGATGTAGGAGATGATAAAAGAGCCATTTCAAAACAGTGGGTGAAACAAGGATTCCACAAATGATGGTGAGTCTCTACCACTTTAAATTTGTCCAGATGGATCAATGATTTTGAATGTACAGTAATGTAACAAAAAGCTATGAATCTCTTATTGTATTGGAGTGGGTAAGATCATTGCAAGCATGACAGCAAACTCGTGAACAAGCCAAGAAAGTGATTTATGAAAGCATATATAAAATATGCATTAAAATATCTGATGGTGAATTTTTCTGAAATACATTCTTCCCTTAGAGTAATCTGGGGCTCATATTCTCCAAAGCCATTGGAAGTGAAAGAAAGGTTGGGTGGGGAAAAAGAAAAGTGCTTTGCAAGTTCATTTTTGTTGTCAGGAGAGCTTGCGGTTTAGGTTCTCCACAGGGGCAGGAAATCTTGAGTCGCGCGGCGAATGCCCCACTCAGTGCGCATGCGGCACAGACCTGTTGCTGCGCATGTCTGTTGCTAGGCATGTCTGTTGCTGCGCATGCGCCTTGCTGCCCCTTTGTCCACGTAGAGCTCTACCAGGAAAGGCTGCGTCTGAGTTCTTGCCGCCATCTTCATTCTTTCTCACTTACTGAGATTCAGCCGGTGGGTCCGCAGATCTGTCCCTCGGGGAATTTAGTGGTGCGCGAATGTGAGTAGGAGGCAGCGGGCTTCGGTCAGGTCCTGCGGACTAGGCCGGTGGCTTCTGAGGGGAAAGGGCCTCGCGGTTGTTGTTTGGCTCCTCCCAGGTCGCGACGCCGCCATAGGCCTTGTCGTGGCTGGGCTGGGGTGAGGGAGGAAGGTGAGCCTCGAAGGGGAGGGATCACGTGAAGACGGGGCGCGAGTTGGGAGGGCTGTTAGAGATATCTGAGTCCGAAATGCCTAGAACCCTCTGAGGGAGGACAGTATCCAGACTGCTCATTAGGGATGGGGGAAGGGACAGCATGGGCAGTAAGGAAGGGGCCTGGGAATTGGGAACGCTGTGGGCTGGTGACTGTGGCCCCGAGGTCTGTAGACTGCCTGGCAGAGGTGTCCTGTGAGGAGCATAACCTTCACTCTGTTTCAGCAACTTCTCACCTCCGCCATGGACGTCATGGGAAGGAATGGGCGAGGCTGTGCATGGCAGCAAAACTTGATTTTGGGAAGGGAATGGGCCTAGAGTGGGACGAAAGCTGTAGTCACTTAAGTTTCAATACTTGGCCTGTATTTTCGTAAACGTCTTCATAATGGCAGGTCTTATTGTGAAACCAAAACTCAAAGGGCCTCTGTTTTTTGCTATGGCGTTAAGGTGACTTCTGTGACTGTTTTACTGTGATATAAACGAATCCGTTCTTTTTTGTTTTTTTGAGACAAAGTCTTGCTCTGTCGCCAGTCTGGAGTGCAGTGGCGCAGTCTCAGCTCACTGAAACCTCTGCCTCCTGGGTTCAAGCGATTCTTCCACCTCAGCCTCCCGAGTAGCTGGGACCACAGGCGCATGCCACCACACCTGGCTAATTTTTTTTTTTTTTTTGTATTTTTAGTAGAGACAGGGTTTCACCATGTTGGCCAGGATGGTCTCAATCTCTTGATCTGCCCACCTCGGTCTCCCAAAGTACTGGGATTACAGGCGTGAGCCACTGCGTTCGGCCTGTCCTTTGTTTGGAAAGCATGCGTATTTACCATTGCTTGGTGATTTATTCTGAAAATATTTTCAAAATTTAAAAAGTACAAATCACTGTCTTGCCATGCAATGTTCATATATGTAGTTAAGTTGTTATACAGTTTTTCCAAATAACGATATTCTATTTTCAGTGGTAACTATGAGCGAGCATGTAAGAACAAGATCCCAATCCTCAGAAAGAGGAAATGATGAAGAGTCTTCCCAACTGACTGGACCTGCTATTGTGAGTCCTTCAACGTTTGATATTTTCTATTAACGCAATTTATTTTTAAATATATTTTTCAGTTAGTGTACATGCACTGATACAGGTCTTCCATGATAAAAAATGATGGCATCTCATGAAGGAAACTTTGGTTCAGGAGTATTATATTCTGGTGTTGCCTGTATGGATATGGATATTTCTCTCTCTCTCGCTCTCTCTCTCTCTCTCTGTGTGTGTGTGTGTGTGTGTGTGTGTGTGTGTGTCTGTGTGTGTGTATATATCTAACTGTTGAAAAATGTCATTAGACTTATGATTAGATGCACATATGCATTGTGTGTATTTATGTTACAGACTTTTCTTCACACACACACTTACACCCTTAGGTCCAGCAGCTCACTGAGGAAAAACGTCAAGAAGAGGAACCACCAACTGAAACCCAGGGTGTTGCACCCAGTGGGGAGATCGAAAATGAAGGAGCACCTGCGGTTCAAGGTGAAGGGAGAGTGAAGAATAATGATTATGGGCAGTGGAGGTGTATTAATGCATTATATTTTATGACAGCAGTAATAGGAGGACAGAAAACAGCAGGAAGGAATCTTAAACTTTTCCTACTGCTGCTGTGGGGAGGGGTGGGACAAGGACACAGAAAAAGCCACAACATTTTTTCTACCATTTTGATGGAGGCTTTTTATTTCTTTATTTATTTACACACATTTATTAATGCTTCATCATGCCGCATAATATAAGTGCTGGGGATGTCAGTGTTAAATTTCTGCGTAAAGCTCATAGTCTAGTCAGACTGACTCAAACGAATCACTGATTTAATGTGATAAGTATAATAACAAATGAGTACAAAAGGGACAAGTAGGTTGTCTAGGGCCAACCTTGGGAAAGGAAAGGGCAGTCTTTGAAAATCTCTGCTTTCCTCTTTTTTCTGGCAACAGATTCCTGAAATAATTGGCCTACAGGTTTTTATTTTGTAATGATGAGGGAATAAGTATAATTTCCTTGTTCGTAGTTTATGTTTTAATTTGTAAATTGATGGCCTTTTTATCTTTAAGGGCCTGATGTTGAAGCTGTTCAACAGGACTTGGCTCTGCTTGCAGTAGAGGATGAGCCTGGAGATGGTCCAGATGTCAAGGAGGGGATTCTGCCCACTGTTGATCCCACTAAAGTGCTGGAAGCAGGTATGTTATTCATTAAGATGCAAATTATAGGGTTTCTATTTTTACAATATTACATTTTGTGTGACAGAGGCAAAATTACTACTACTTGATATAATAGTTCACATATAAAGATTCCTTTAAGTTAGTTCAGACCCCAGTGGCTGCCTTACACACTATCAGAGATAGAGGGCCAAGTGTGGTGGCTCGTGCTCTTAATCCTAGCCCTTTGGGAGGCTGAGGCAGAAGGATCACTTGAGGCCAGGAGTTCAAGAGACAGAGAAAAATTGGGTCTAAGCTAATTGAGTTATGGTATGAATGATGTGAAACATGCTAAGAGAGTAGATTTTGAGTGTCTTCACTGCTGTGCGGAGAGTAATGCATATTTTAATTAGCTTGATTGAGCCATTTTACAATGTATATTTATTTTAGAATATCATGTTGTACGTGATAAATATATACAACTTTATGTGTCATTTTACAAGAAAGATATGAAAAGGTTTTCTGACTTTTGAATGTAATTCATTTAACCAACAGCCAACGATTTTCAGGTATTTTTATACAGGCCCATTTTTAACAAATACATAACATGTTTATAATATACGTCAGTTTCTATTGTGATGTTAATTGTGATGGCAATGGCTTAAAGCTAGTGTGGGTATTTAGTTTACTGTATAAGCTGAAATGCTTTTATGTGTGTAAAGAGGCAGGAGTACCGGCAAAAATAGTGACAAATGTTCACCCTACTTAAAGCAGCTGTATAATGGCTAAGCTAGTCCAAAGTAACATTTTTACACTTTTCCACAAGAGACACAAAACAAATGTAATACTGACTTTTCTATTTACTTCACTTAGGCAGTTCTCAGCATACTCTATATTCAGAGTGTTATTTCATATCAAAATATTTAAATGATACTTTAAAAAATATCTTTTTTTCCTTTGGTTTTGTTTGGTTGAATTTTTGCTGAAAGTATATGCATGTTTTTGCTTTCTACTTATACATATAAAATAGATTCACTTGATTTAATTCATTCTGATCTTGAACAGTCTCTTTGTTTCCTCCTTCTACTAGAAAAAGTAGCATGAAATAAAATATTGTTAATATGCCTAGAAGTCTACTTTCAGAGTTAATTCAGAGGCTAACTGGACATAAGCTAAAGGGTCACCCTTAGGGTTCTGATTTTAGTTAATCAACATGGTAGTTGTATACCTTTAATGTCATCTGAATAAAAATCTGCTGAGTAACATGCCCTCATTTTATATTTGTATTATAGGTGAAGGGCAACCATAGATTTAAACCAAGACAAATGAAGACCGAAACCAAGAATGTTGTTCTTATGCTGGAAAGTTGACTGCTAACATTCTCTTAATAAAGTGTTACATTTTTCTGCAAACAATTCTTGTACACTTTTGTTAAGTTTATTTCTAGATTTTTAATTCTCTTGAAAATTGTATCTTTTTTGAAAGTTTAAATTTTGTGTTTGAGATGAAATGTTGGTACATTGGTTTTCTGTCATAGATAGGAAACTGGAAGCTTTCATAGGGGGATGCCAGCAGCTGCTTAGATAGAAAAGGCCACCTGGGGTCAAGCATATCCATCATGGGTGTCCCACCTCCCCCTTTTTAGCACATGGACAGTAAGAAAGAAATGAGTAACATGGCGTAGCTCAGGCTGAGGACCTGCCTGCGTAATAAAAGATCAGGGGCTGCCAGAGATTCATGCCGTATGCAGATGGTACACCTGGTCCTAACTGGTTGGTTGTACCCTACATACATTGGATACTGCCTCCCCACTAGCTCATCTATAATAACTCCTGCATTTCACTGCAGCATGGCAATCCTTTTTTCTGCGACCCATCTCTGAAGTAAAGAGCTGTTCTCTTTCTTTTGCCTCTTAAATTTCTGCTCTAAACCTCACTCTTGGTGTGTCTGTGTCCTTGATTTCCTTCACTGTGAGACCAAGAACTCTGAGTGTTATCCCAGACAATGAGGCCACTTCAGTACTAGTTGTGGGTCTGTGGTATATGGCTTTTAACACATTGAAGTATGTTTCTTCTGTTTCCAGTGTTTTGAGGGTTTGTATCATGATGACATATTGAGTTTTATTAAATGCTTTCTTGGCATCAATTGAAATGATTATATGGTTTTTATCCTTCATTCTGTCGATAGGCTTTATCCCATAAATTAATTTGCATATGTTCAACCATCCTTCCATCCCAGGGATAAATCTCACTTGGTCATGGCGAACATTCTTTCTAATGTATTGTTGAATTTGATTTCCTAGTATTGCAAAAATTTTATCCTAATCTGTAGGTTGTCTGTTTGCTCTGTTGATAGTTTATTTTGCTGTGCAGAAGCTCTTTGGTTTAATTAGATCCCATGTGTAAATTTTTGCTTTCTTTGTAATTGCTTTTGGCATTTTGTCATCATGCTTTACTTGCCCATGCCTGTGTCCTGAATGCATTCTCTTCTAGGATGTTTAGAGTTTTGGCCTGTACATTTAAGTCTTTAATCCACCTTGAGTTGATTTTTGTATAAGATGTAAAGAAGGAGTCCAGCTTTTATTTTCTGCATGTGGCTAGCCAGTTCTCCCAGCACCATTTATTCAATAGAGAGTCCTTTCCCCATTGCTTTTGTTTGTCAGGTTTGTCGAAGATCAGAAAGTTGTAGGTGTATGGTCTTAGAAACTGAGTTCCCTATTCTGTTTCATCGGTCTATGTGTCTCTTTTTGTACCAGTACCATGCTGCTGCAGTTACTGTAGCCTTGTAGCATAGTTTGAGGTCTGGTAACATGATGCCTCCAGCTTTGTTCTTTTTGCTTAGGATTGTCTTGGCTATATGGGCTCTTTTTTTGGTTTCATATGAATTAAAAAAAATTTTTCTAATTCTGTGAAGAATGACAGTGGTAGTTTAATGGGAATAGCATTGAATCTATGAATTATTTTGGGTAGTATGACCATTTTCGTGATACTGATTCTCCCTATCCATGTGCATGGAATATTTTTCCATTTGTTTGTGTCATCTCTGATTTCCTTGTGCAGTGGTTTGTAGTTTTCCTTGAAGAGGCTCTTCACTTCCTTTGTTAGCTGTATTTTTGTGTTTATTCTCTTTGTAGCAATTGCGAGTAGGAGTTCATTTATAATTTGGCTCTCTGCTCACCTGTTGTTGATGTTTAGGAATGCTAGCAATGTTTGCGCATTGATTTTGTATCCTGAGAGTTTGCTGAAGTTGCTTATCAGCTGAAGAAACTTTTGGGCTGAGACGATGGGGTTTTCTAGATACAGGGTCATGTCATCTGCAAACAAAGATAATTTGACTTCTTCTCTTCCTGTTTGACTACTCTTTATTTCTTCTCTTGCCTGATTGCTCTGTCCAGAACTTCCAATACTATGTTGAATAGGAGTGGTAAGAGAGGACATCCTTGTGCCAGTTTTGAAAGGGAATGCTTCTAGCTTTTGCTCATTCATTATGATATTGACTGTGGGTTTGTCATGTATCACTCTTATTATTTTGAGGTATTTCAATACCTAGATTATTGAGAGTTTTTAACATGAAGGGATGTTGAATTTTAGCTGAAGAATCTGTTTCTTAAGGTTTCACCCCACTCCCTTACTCCTTTCAAGATGAGGAAGGGGTATGGCTTATGACTGTTACAGTCGTATGGGAAGGGGATGCCTTCTGGATGATAAGGGAAAATTCTTATATTTTGGCCCTAAAATAAATTTAGCTTGAGGCAATAATTTACATAATTCTTGTCAATTGTGAGAGTACATAAAAGCCCAGTTAATTTTTTTTTATTGCATTTTAGGTTTTGGGGTACATGTGAAGAACATGCAAGATTGTTGCATAGGTACACACATGGCAGTGTGGTTTTCTGCCTTCCCTCCCCTCTCCTGTATCTGTCATTTCTCCCCATGCTATCTCTTCCCACCTCCCCACACCCCTGTCCCTCCCCCATTTCCCCCCAACGGACCCCAGTATGTAGTGCTCCCCTCCCTGTGTCCATGTGTTCTCATTGTTCAACACCCGCCTATGAGCGAGAACATGTGGTGTTTGATTTTCTGCTCTTGTGTCAGTTTGCTGAGAATGATGGTTTCCAGGTTCATCCATGTCCCTACAAAGGACGTGAACTCATCGTTTTTGATGGCTGTGTAATATTCCATGGTGTATATGTACCACATTTTGCCCATCCAGTCTATCATCGTTGGGCATTTGGGTTGGTTCCAGGTCTTTGCTATTGTAAACAGTGCTGCAATGAACATTCGTGTGCATGTGTCCTTATAGTAGAATGATTTATAATCCTTTGGATATATACCCAGTAATGGGATTGCTGGGTCAAATGGGATTTCTATTTTTACGTCATTGAGGAATTGCCACACTGTCTTCCACAATGGTTGAATTAATTTACATTCCCACCAACAGTGTAAAAGTGTTCCTATTTCTCCACATCCTCTCCAGCATCTGTTGTTTCCAGATTTTTTAATGATCGCCATTCTAACTGGTGTGAGATGGTATCTCAATGTGGTTTTGATTTGCATTTCTCTAATGACCAGTGATGATGAGCATTTTTTCATATGTTTGTTGGCCTCCTGTATGTCTTTGTAAAGTATCTGTTCATATCCTTCGCCCGTTTTTGAATGGGCTTGTTTGTTTTTTTATTGTAGATCTGTTTTAGTTCTTTGTAAATTCTGGATATCAGCCCCTTGTCAGATGGGTAGACTGCAAAAATTTTTTCCCATTCTGTTGGTTGCCGATTCACTCTACTGACTGTTTCTTTTGCCGTGCAGAAGCTGTGGAGTTTGATTAGGTCCCATTTGTCTATTTTGGCTTTTTTTGCCATTGCTTTTGGCATTTTGGTCATGAAGTCCTTGCCCACACCTATGTACTGAATGGTTTTGCCTAGATTTTCTTCTAGGGTTTTTATGGTCTTAGGTCTGATTTTTAAGTCTTCAACCCATCCAGAGTTAATTTTGGTGTAAGGTGTCAGGAAGGGGTCTTGTTTCTGCTTTCTGCACATGGCTAGCCAGATTTCCCAACACCATTTATTAAACAGGGAGTCCTTTCCCCATTGCTTGTTTTTGTCAGGTTTGTCGAAGATCAGATGGTTGTGGGTATGTTGTATTTCCTCTGAGGCCTCTGTTCTGTTCCATTGGTCTATGTATCTGTTTTGGTACCAGTACCATGCTGTTTCTGTTACTGTATCCTTTAGTTTGAAGTCAGTGTGATGCCTCCAGCTTTGTTCTTTTTGCTTAGAATTGTCTTGGCTACATGGATGCTTTTTTTGGTTCTGTATGACATTTAAAGTAGTTTTTTTTTCCTAGTTTGATAAAGAAAATCAGTGGTAGCTTGATGGGGATAGCATTGATTCTATAAGTTACTTTGGGCAGTATGTTCATTTTCACAATATTGATTCTTCCTATCCATGAGCATGGATTTTTTTTTTTTTCCATTTGTTGGTGCCCTCTCTCATTTCTTTGAGCAGTGGTTTATAGTTCTCCTTGAAGAGGTCCTTCATGTCCCTTGTAAGTTTTATTCCTAGGTATTTTCTTTTCTTTGTAGCAGTTGTGAATGGGAGTTCACTCATGATTTGTCTCTCTGCTTGTCTATCATTGGTGTATAGGAATGCTTGTGATTTTTGCACAGTAATTTTTGTATCCTGAGACTTTGCTGAAGTTGTTTATCAGCTTAAGGAGTCTTTAGGCTGAGACGATGGGGTTTTCTAAATATACAGTCATGTCATCTGCAAACAGAGACTATTTGACTTCTTCTCTTCCTATTTGAATACCCTTTATTTCTGACTCTTGCCTGATTGCCCTGGCCAGAACTTCCAATACTATGTTGAATATGAGTGGTGAGAGAGGGCATGCTTGTCTTGTGCTTGTTTTCAAAGGGAATGATTCCAGCTTGATATTGGTTATGGGTTTGTCATGAATAGCTCTTATTATTTTGAGATATGTTCCATCAATACCTAGCTCATTGAGAGGTTTTAGCATGAAAGGGTGTGGAATTTTACTGAAGGGCTTTTCTGTATCTATTGAGATCATCATGTGGATTTTGTTATTGGTTCTGTTTATGTGATGGATTAGGTTTATTGATTTGCATATGTTCAATTGCCTTGCATCCCAGGGATGAAGCCAACTTGATCGTGATGGATAAGCTTTTTTGATGTGCTGCTGAATTCGTTTTGCCAGTATTTTATTGAGGGTTTTTGCATCAAAGTTCATCAGGGATACTGGCCTAAAATTTTCTCTTTTTGTTGTGTCTCTGCCAGGTTTTGGAATCAGGATGATGCTGGCCTCATAAAATGAGTTAGGGAGGAGTCCCTCTTTTTCTATTGTTTGGAATAGTTTCAGAAGGAATGGTACCTGCTCCTGTTTGTACTTCTGGTAGAA